TCCATCCAGCAGGCCCCGAGGCATTCACTTTCCTATCAAATCTTCTGCCCAAAAGGGAAAAACCCACAATTTATTTTTGATTTGGTTCCATGGTCCCTTTACCAGAAAATGGAAGGTATGGAACGTATGCTTGCCGATAAGGATGAACGCGTTGACTAACTTGAATCAAATATGGCGTCCCAGGAAAAGGCGATCTAATAGAAAGATGTTCTTATCGATAGATTAGCTAAAAGAGTATCTGACTTGGAGACAATTGTGATTCTAAACCCTGTTCAAGAGAAACCCGATCCGCGAAGCCATGCTAAATCAAATACGGACTTGCCTACTTTTAACATTACCACCAAACTCAGCGTTAGTGAAACCTCGTCCTTTGAAGCTGATGATATTCCTCCGACACACAACCCCCAACAACCCTCTGAAGAAAACCATCGAATTTATGACAAGAATGAAGAAACTGACATCATTCTAATATCCAAGATATGGAGATCCCGACACAATCGTAAGTCTTCGAAAATGTTAGCGATTAGAATAGGCATCAACGTACGGCTATTTTTTTAAAATGATACATGAATGATTTTTAACTTATTCTATCATCAATATCATTTCTAAAAAAAATCATTCTTTGTGGCTTTTATAGAATTTGAAATAGATATAGACCCTTAATTTAAGCGTTTTAGAGAAATGCAATTTGCAGGATTAACTGTATTTTTTTTATTTATTCGCGAGAAATATATTTGTGCATAAATTTTCGAGAAGAGTTGACAGCAGGTTGAAATAAATGTTTAAGTCGAACTTAAAGGTAGGGGGGAATAACTTAAAAAATGGCAAAAAGGACGTCTCATCGTATAGAAAACATATTGAATGTTTAAAAGACTTTCTAGGCTATTGCTAGAATTATTTTCATGTGTTGTAAGTGTTGCTGAACGACCTGTGAAACAGACAGTGGCGTTCCACATGACTCGTTCTGGTTTTAGAAGTGGAGCTACATGTATCATAATTTACGACCACGAGAAACTAGACCATGGCGACGGATACAGCTCAATCGAAGGGCTCTATACTGTCCCCGAATCTGGAACCTACGTTCTCACATGAACGACCATTGGTCGTTCCTATGAAGAATTTCAGACTGTCCTCGTAGTGAATGGAGCAGTTAGAGGATCGTCGTTTTCAGATACTTTATATGTCAACGAGTATCATCAATCTACGGAAGTAGTTGTTCTTACTTTGAACCCTGGATATCACGTCTTTATCCGCATGGGTTTTACACAACTTGCACAAGGGGATATCATAAGCGAAGAGATTAGGTATGGATTGTCTACATGTTCAGGCTGGCAACTTGACTGAAAAGGAACACTTCTAGACGATCAACGGTATACATATTTTTATTGTGTGTTCAATCTCGCTATAAACATGATTTCTGGTTCGTTTGTTCCATCATCATTCAAATTATTAACCCAATCAAATGATTTAATCCTATGGTAAAATGATATTTACAAATAACTCAGCAGCAATAGCGTTAACATCGTCGTCCAATAGTATCTTCAGTGGTAAATCAGCATTCTAAATTTCTTTTGGGAAGCTTACCTCAATGAGTTGAAGCTTTTTCTGACTAGATTGTGTTCACTGTATCTTGATCACAAACGTGCAGTATCAGATTAGATATTTTATCATATGTTCCAAAAGTGGTTTTAACGAATAGCTCTTTTTAATAATTTATTGTTAACGATAAAACAACACATGGATACCGAGCTGCCAACAAAACCACAATTCGGCTGGTATTTGCGCTTTATTAATACTCTAGGCATACACATAGGTATAAAAAAGAAAACGCCGACCTTTATATAAAACGAGGAAATAGAATACTCCCAAGTAATGTAATGATGGCTGCCTTTAAACTGATTCAATGTCATCTGTTGAAACCTTATTGAGCAGTTTATCAGCCAGCAGTTGGCATCCATCACATGGTATTCGGAACAATCTCTTGAATACCGAATATGCTGCAACAATTAAAAACGTTGGTTGAAAACAGTGATGGAATTATTGAAAAAGGAAAAGTTTAAGATAAGGCCAGATGATCGTTCACCTTAAAGAAGCCCTGTTGGTCATGTTGCAATAAGAAATCGAGGAAATTGGCTGATGAAGAATATATTTAGTGTCTTTGATTTCAAGTTCAGGACGCATATCGTCGATTTATCTTAAAAGTGAAATCAAAGGACATATCAGTTAACTCTCCTGATACGCACTTCCCTGAATTCAGCTACTTATAAATAAGACAGCCAAGAGAGAGTACAGTGTGCGGATGTCAATAGTATGCTCAAAAATATTTGCACAGAAATTTACAAATGTATTCTCAACAAGGAACTGAGTTTATCTCACGACTTTATCCTCGATATTTTATTCTATTATGGCCCTTACCCGAGGAAACTGTTCTCTTAAAGTGTCATCTGGGGAGGTATAGTGCCCGAGGCGTTGGGCGAGGGCACTATACCTCCATAGACAGCACTATAAGATAACTGTTCCCGAGGGAAAGGGTCATAATATATTTAGTACATCACATGACTGTCATTTGACAATATAAAGAATTCATTTCAATGAAAATGTCTGGGGATATATCACCTACCGGGATAAATGGGAACTTTGTGTTGCACAACACCCTTTACTTCTGCTCGGACGTGTTTTGGCATACTTTTAAACACGTTATTAGCCTTTGCAAACCTTGCATCGATTATAATGTCGAAATCACTGCCACATAATGGTTCTTGCAAATTTTCGCCGCAAACCTAGCCTGGTGGCAATAAGAGAACTTTTTGAGTAGATCTCTCCTTTTTTGTTGCGTATATTGGCATAGATCTCCGCCAAAACAGCGCATAGAAATCCACTAAAACACCCTTTAATTCACTGGATTGAACCACCGCTAGGTCACATACGGTTCCCCTTTCCAGTAGGAAGTCTTTAAGGACTGAGACGGCAAATGTGTCGCCTGCATCGTCTTTATGCATTGCTGAGGAATCTGCGAAGCACTCGGCATTCCGGGTCTCGAATCTCGAAGCCATTTTGGCAGGGGACAACAATGAAGAGAAAGTAGAATATGTATAGCGCCCCCTAGGAGAAGGGGCGCAACTCTTAGCACCACGCTACTTTTCCGGCACTCTCAGCGGCCAAAAACAGGTATAGTGCCCGTCTCCAGGTATAGTTCCCGTCGTCTAGGGCGGATGCTAACTATACCGAATAGAACAAGGGTAGTTATCCAATAGCTATCCTAGAAATTATCATGTGATCTACTAAATTCATAAGGCTTTGTCAAACTTTTACAATCATATGCCCTCCAAAATAGTTTACAAACCGATTTATATCGATAAAAGACGCACATATTAAATCAGGAGAGGGCGCTCAAAACTTACCAAGCAGTCATTCACTTTATGGAGTAAACAGTGTCACAATACGATCGTAGCCCTAGTATAATGGCACCTAAAATGAATGGCAATGAAACGCTCGGACAAAGTTTGTTTATGCATCCAGCCAAGATTAAAGATAAGAGATTAAACGTTATTGAAACAAAGTATATTGTGATTATAGAATCCAAAACAAATCTAAGAAGTGTATATCATCACTACTCACTTGTTGTCTGAATGAATGTAATCAAGAATTCGATGAGTGAGGCTCGGACATCAGTGTTAAAAATCGCTATGCATTTCCAAAATAAAATCATGCATTGGAAACTGTTTTTATGGCATGATAGCATCTTTGATAAATCATTTCTGAACAGAAAACCATCCCTTGAGTACCCTTTTTAACAATAATAACGAGGAAATAAACTATAATCAACAAACATGTTTTGAGTGTTAAAATGCAGCTGGGCTATACCAGGATTGGAATGCTAGGTTTTAGATTGTTGTGCATGCTCTAACAGATTGCGCTAATTGGTTAGCGGAAGAATATTTTAACAACAATACGAGCTTAAGTTATATCTAAAACAAAATTAAAGAAGGTTACTGTGTCAATTAAAACCACACTGCATTGGGATAGGGATTGGAATGTGAGATTTAAGATCATGAACGATTATACGAAGTGCTACGCAAGATGGTATTCACGACTAGAACATCTGATTTAAGTCGTTTAAGTCTATCTTAACCAACATTTAGAAAACAAAATCGTCAGCTTGAAATCAAGAAACCGAAACACAATTTTGTATTCTTTAATTACTCCTGTCCGACTGCATCGTGGTTTTCGTACAAAAGTAAATCCCAAACACTACCCCTGAATATTCGTTTTGGGCATAATGGTATAATCCGTTGAACAGGTACATGTAGATTAGCGACAGTACAACAATCTGAAATCCAGTGACGAACTCCGGTCTAGCACCATTGAATGTTAACGCTCAGATCTCTTGTGCTATACTGCATTGCGTACATATTATAACAACAGCGTTATGGTACAAAAGCGTGCGCCATCATAATTCGTTAATACATAGCAGTTTTGCAGAAAGGTGAAATATTTGCACAAAGTGTGTTTGTTACATGTATGTTACAATGTTTACAACATTAAATTGCAAGGCAAAATAACAGCGAATTGTTAATCTTTGGAAAGAATGCATAAATTATTGTTTTCCGTAGTTTTTAATTAAGCGCCCTCACGCTTTTAATATCGCGCTAAATTACAGTTGCACCAATTAAAGTTCTTTTGTGTTGTTTTTATTGCATATTTTGATGGTGTGCCAATTCGTCAATACGTTCATCTGACAATGCGCTAAACTTTGATTGCGCTAAAATAAATACATTTACAGTATGCGTCTGGGGTGACTTTCTGTCAGCTCCGTTTGATATTATCTATGTTCGAGACTGTTTTTTAATTGGCCCTATCTATTGCGTTGTATGTTGCAAATACCGAACACCTGTCTGTTTCCGAACACCTGTCCGTGTTGTAGTCACGAATGCTAATATATATATGTTTGGTGGGGTTTAGTTGTCAGTCAGGTACAAAAGATAAGACAACAAGGAACAATATATAACTGTACACTGTACAGATAAATCATTGTTTAGATGAGCAGGGAGATGGCGACCAGGTTAGTGAATTTCATTCTGATCATATGTGTTTTCGATTGTTTTAGTTGTCTGGACGGAAAACAGCCGGACCCCAGAAATCACACCCAAGAATGGCAAGACCTTATCTCCTTCGTTTACCAGAAAATTGAAGGCATGGAACGTTTGCTGTCTGAAAAGGATGTTATCATCGGTAAATTAGTTAAGCGAGTATCAGACTTGGAGACAATTGTGATGCTAAACCCTATCTCGGAGAATCCCGAAACACGACACCGTGCGATGTCAAATACGGACATGCCTGTATCTAATAACGATTTTGCGCGTCAAATTCGACCTTCCATCAATAATACCACCATCCAGCGCGAAAGCGTCAGATCTCGATCGACCCGAAATAAACCACACGAAAACCAACTTCACAAGAAGACTACACCCTTCTCCCGATTTAGAATGGCGAAGACGGTTGACTCAAAACGTCGCACTTTTGAAGCCTCCTCGACAAATAGTTACTACATTCCTCCCACCTCTCAGCATTTCACTGGAAAAGACCAACCCACATATCAAGCGGACAAGAACGAAGATAGTGTGAACCTGCCGAAAGCCCAGTTTCCCCAAAGTCGTAAGTCTCATGATGCGCAAGTAATATGAGAAAAAATGATCAAATTAAATTAAAGTTTGAATATCTATTAAAACATTGTAACACAAGATGATATTTGAAATAGTCTTATCAAAGTGTTAAACTAAAGTTGTGAAACATCTTACATTGTCCTTTCAAAAATTTCCCAAAAAGACGAATCCTTATGTAAAATTATTGTAAGAAATTCCGTATTTGAGTTGTGCGTTTAGCAGAAAGCGAGCCTTTTATGCTATTCTGATTACGAAAAATCGCAATATGGACACAAATTCAAACGTTTCGTGGTCTGAAAGAGACCAAATATTTAATAGGCGTATATCAAAGTCATGAAATTCAACGAAAGTTTCTTAACACCTTTTTAAAAATATATATTTTCTATGACAAACGTCAAGTCAATCAGAAAATCACGATACCATGTTCGCGTTATACCTTATGCACGTTATTCTATATGCGTATGCGATATTGTTATTACAGGTGTTCAAGTTCAAGTTTTATTCAAACTTTGGGCCATTGGCCCATCAGTATACAAAACATTTTTAAACAAATCATGGACAATGTACAGAGGATGAAAACAATCATATTCCATTATAATACCCTTAATTTGTTTGCCTCATATATGAATTTTCCTAGTATACACAATTCTTTAATATTATGGACACTCAATAACTGGACGACTTTAAACACAGATGGTTTTTTCCAATAATAGCTTTTGATAAAACGAGATCTGAGATTTTGGAATTTAGAACAGACCAATAAAAAATGAAATTCGTCCTCTAATTCAGAGGGGGAGTTACACTGTTTACAATATCTACGTTCTCTAGGTATATTATTATACCTTCCAACTTCTATAGCTAAAGAATGGGTAGATGTACGTATTCGAGTTAAACAAATGCGATATTTCTTTGGTATATATTTTGTGAGGTAAAATTGTAATGTTTCTCCAAAATCTATTATATGTTTATACAATAAACATTTTGGAGAGTTTTCCACTGTGGCCCTTAGGGATTGTATGCCTTGATCAAAAATTCTTTGTTTTATCAATGGTAATAACAGATTTTGCTGAGAGATGCATGGATTTAACCAAACATCACTAAGACCTAGATTGTTTAATTCATCTCTTACTGCTATAGCCCAGTTGAAATCATTTCTACTACAACATTGTAATAAAAACCTATAGGAAGTTGATATAATACAATTTTCAGATTTTAATAATTTAAACCAATATTTTATCATTCTAATTTTTCTCATACAAACTAGAGGTAACCGTCCCAATTCAAGATATACCATGTTGTTATTGGCCGATTTCTTCACTTTTAGTAGTTTCTTACAAAAATGTAAATGTACATGTTCTATCTCTGGAGCTTTGTGCATACACCAAATTTCACTTGCATAGAAAAGGATACTGCTTACATATGTATCGAAAAGATGGAGCATAGTTTTTACATTTAAGTTTAATGATGAACACTTTGCAAATAATGCAAACATAGCTTTTCGTCCTTGGCTAGCTAATTGTTTTTGTATAGATGTGAATTTATTGTTGTAATTTAAAATAACACCTAGGTAAGGAAATTGATCCACACATTCAACCTTACTTCCTTTGTAATACCATTTTTCCTCATTATGCAATCTTCCACCTTTTCTAAAAACTACAATTTTTGTCTTTTCAGCATTTACAGTTAAATTCCATTCAGTACAATATTTTTCTAAATTATCAAGCATATCTTGGAGACCTTCTACAGTCTCGGAGAATAATACCAGATCATCAGCATATAGCATCAGATATAAACTGAGTTCCTCAAACTCATAACTACCCTTGCAATTTTGTATAAAATATGATTCAAAATCATTTATATACATAGAAAAAAATATCGGTGACAGAATTTCACCCTGTAATAATCCAACCCTGTTAAGAAAAAAATCTGACAACTTTCCATCTAATTTAACACAAGATTTAACATGAGAGTACATAGACCTTACAACTTGTAATAGCTTTCCTCTTATACCAAGTTTTGATAGCTTATTCCATAAATTTATTCTATTTACCATATCAAATGCTTTACGAAAATCGACAAAGCAACAATACAATCTTTTCTTATTAATAAATGATTTGGATATAATAGAATGTAAACAAAATATAGCATCTACTGTACTAAGACCAGGTCTAAACCCAAATTGAGCATCAGTTATTACATCATATGTTTCTGACCATTTTAAAAGTCTATTGTTTAAAACAGAAGTGAATAATTTTCCTAAACAACTTACTATACTTATACCTCTAAAATTGTTAGGGTCAGTTAGGTCACCCTTTTTATGTACCGGTGTAATTACAGCAACTGCCCAATCAGCAGGATAGAGACCAGAGTCCAATATATTGTTAAAAAGTTTACACAAAATAGGTAATAAAATATCCCTCCCTACCAATAAACTTTCATTTAAGATGCAATCTATACCATGGGATTTTCCCTTCTTTAAATTACTGATTGCTTTGCAAATTTCATCAATAGTAATTACTTGGTCCAATTCTTCATATAGTGGTACTTCATCTGAATGATTGTGAGATTGATCAGGTTCTTGATCAGAGTTATCGTTCCTGGCCAAATTTTTGAAGTGCTCAAATAAAACTTTCAATTCAATATCTGGTTTCTTGGACTTGGTTGCAGTGAAATTTCTGTAAAATTCCTTAGGATTGTTAAATCTCATGTATTCAAGCATGTCGCCTTCACACTTTAAGTACATTCTTTTTTTCATAGATTCTTTTAATTTATAGTTCCTTTTCTTCTCCACAAGCAGAGCATGATTAAATACATTTTTTTCCTTATTGAAGTTATACAGAGCTGATTTGTACAAGTTGTACAAAGTTTTCAATTCCATATCAAACCATGGTTTATCAGTATTAAAATTGATTAACCCATCTCGGCATGTATAATTATGGTTATCTTGATTGGCATCACAATATTTAGTTAATTTTACAAGGAAAGGTTCCATAGATTTCATCAGTATTTCAGTAAAACTACTCACACTAGTGTTAATATCAGACTGACTAACAGCATCAGGGATGGTTACAGCAACACATAGGTTCTCCTGATTGTCAGACAACAGATTTAAAAAACAATCCTTAAAATCATCATTCCATTTGTATAATGGTTTACGCTCACCACTTTCAGTAACCTCATGTGTAACAGTGTGATAAATCTGACATTTTAATTGAATATGCAAAGGAGCATGGTCAGAAAATACATTAAAATTTGAAATTATAAATTGTTCCAGAATATTAAATAATGAATCTGTAATTATACAGTAATCTATAGTACTCATGCCGTTGTGTCCATAGTATGTAAAATCATTAGAATATCCTTGTTGGTCTCTTCCGTTACATATACACATATTACATGATTTACATAGCTGTATCAGGCGATTACCAAAAGTGTTAATTACTACATCTGGGTTATGCCTGATTTTTAAACCGTCATCAGGTTCATAATTTATTATATTGGAGAGGCAATTTTTAATACTGGAATGAATTACATCATTCTGGATATAATCAGGTAGGATACCTGTACGACTATTAAAATCTCCAACCATCATAATGTCCCCGAGGGAACTATAATTTACAATACCATTTTCAAGTTCAAAGAAAAGGTCACAGTTGTACATGTTATAATATACAGAACTAGAAGGTGGCATGTAAACACATGCTATATATAAATCATTTTGGTTATCAATAAGGGTTTTCGATACCTTTAACCATATGATTGAATCATATATTGATTCAATTACAGATACATAATTTACAAACACGTTTTTAACAAGAATAACCATCCCACCACCTTGAGATCCTACAACTAGTAATCTAGGGTAAATATAACACGAAAACCCCTCAATTGATAAAGAATAATCATTGGGTATCCAACATTCAGATAGAAAAATCAAGTCATATGTCTTGATATAATTTAAAAAACTTATTGTCTTTAACTTATTGTCAAGTCCACCGTTTATGTTCCATGATAGAACTTTGAGATTCTGGGGCGTGTCCCCACACTCCACATTGTCCTATGAAACAGGATGATGTCCACGACCGACATTTCCTCGTCCACTTCCTCGTCCACGACTAGCTTTGCCTTGACCACGACTAGCTGTTCCTTGGCTGGCTCTGTTACCATGATTACTTGGCTTAGGGATGGCTCCACCAGTGTCCTTGGTAGTGGTCGCTATTACTGTAGGCTCGGTGTACAAAATACCATCAATGTACAACTTTTCACGCACAAAGTATGCCTTCTTTCCCTCGTCCCGAGCACTCTTACATGCTGGCCAAAGCCTCCTCCTAGTCTCACGAACTTCCCAGGGGAATTGTTCTGTTATGCGAAATTTAGATCCTTTCAACTTTTTGGGTGCTAATTGTTTAATTTTTTCTTTTTGGTCACGCCTTTTAAACCTTGCGACTATAGGCCTGGCCTTACCTTCCGCTTTATGTCCGACCCGATGAGCACGCTCTACATAGGTCTCCTCGCGTACCTCCAGTTTTTCTTGTACAACACGTATAACCTTGTTTACACAGTCTTCTGTAGGTACTCGTATGTCATCTTCGACTTTAAAGTCTTCACCATCCGACTCATCAATACCAAAAAAGAGGAGATTGTCTCTCATGGAGCGACATTTCAACTCTAATATGTCACTTGCCACTGAATCCATGTTGACCTGAATACCAGTGACATCCTGTTTGACTCTGTAATGCTGATGCTCCTCAAAAGAATTGTTTAGGAAAGACTGTGATTTCTCCAACTCGTCCATTCTTAGTTTTAGGATATTCATATCTTCATTAATTCCAGATACAGATTTTTCAATATTGTCTAGCTTGGCCAATTTACTGGTGAGAGTATCGAGGTGTTGCCCCGTCGTCTCCTCGGCGCGCTGTGGCGTTCCACGCGGAATTTTCCAAGAACAAAGTGTTTTCTGATAATGAAATAATAGCCTACGACCAGGAGAAACTAGACCAAGGGGGTGGATACAACCCGGGGGTGGGGCTCTACATCGTCCCAGAATCAGGAACATACGTCATCACCTGGACAGCAGTTTGTTATGCACATAGCGCTTTCCAGACTGTCCTCGTGGTGAATGGAGCTATACGAGGATTATCGTGGACAGATGCAGAAGAGATTAACGATGACCATCAAACTACAGCTATCGTCGTCCTTACGCTGAACCAGGGAGATCGTGTCTTCGTCCGCATGGGACGAACTTACGGACGCGGTGTAATTGTAAGTGATAGCACCGCTGCATGGTCTACTTTCTCCGGCTGGAAAATTGACTGAGAACAAAAACTCACAGGCCAGACTTTCTGTATTATTACACCTAACGGTTAATAAATTTATAACAAACAGCATTAGATTGAATGATATTTTGATAAGACCAACTAATATAACGGTTTGGTATTATTGGGTTTAACTTCCTATTAACAGCTAAGGTCATTTTGGAACATGTCTTCATGTTTGTAATGTATGAGTGGTTTAGCCGACCTTAAAGTGCTAGCTCACTGAAACGTGATCACGAATGCTCGTAACAAAGCGTTCAACTCATTCATATAATAGCAATGGGTTAACGATTTTAAAGCGATTACCCTCAATGCTGAATGTTAAGCAGGAAATAATAACTACAGTTTCTAAGGTCTTTAGTACGAAAGAGCGGTAAACAAAACTAATTATATATACCAAAGGTTTATGTGACTATTATCTCTTATATTATTCCTATATTTAATCTTAGTGATTCTAGAAAAAAATACATCAAGGGAGGTAATTATGTTAAGCTTGAGGTTTGAAACGGTACAGCGTTCAGATATCATATCAGAATTTCTTTTCAATGATTTGTTTTGTGACACGTCTGACGGCTTAAAATACACAACATTAATATGGGGTGCAGAAAATATGAGAGTGCTGTAAGTGCACAATATCTACCGTATTCCACGTGTCATACCTTAGTATGTACCAGGCTGTCCTCGTAGTGAATGGAGCTGTCAAGTTTTATTCGAACTTTAGGCCATTGGCCCATCAGTATACAATACATGTTATACACAAATTATGGACAATGTACAGATAATGAAGACAATCATATTCCATTATAATACCCTTAATTTGTTTGCCTCATAGGTGAATTTTCCTAGTAAACACAATTCTTTAATATTATGGACACTCAATAACTGAACGGCTTTAAACACAGATAGTTTTTTCCAATAATAGCTTTTGATAAAACGTGATCTGAGATTTTGGAATTTAGAACAGACTAATAAAAAAATGAAATTCGTTCTCTACTTCAGAGGGGGAGTTACACTGTTTACAATATCTACGTTCTCTAGGTATATTATTGGAGTTGTCAAGGGTCATCGTTTTCGGATACTTCAGGGGTCGGTGAATTTCATCAATCTACGGCAGTAGTTGTTCTTACTTTGAACCCGGGAGATCATGTCGTTATCCGCGTGGGGTATACCGTCAGACTCTGGACAATAATAAGTAGATATGTTAAATACGGGCTGTCGTCTTTCTCTGGCTGAAAAAAGACCATTGGTAGATGTTTTTACTGTACGTTGTCAGCCGAAATATATGTGTTACACCTCAATCATATTCGTCAGTTTGGCAGTATGTAATATCAAAGTGTTACTTTCTATACAAACATCTATTTGATACAGTGTGTACGTACGCTTTCTATCGATCGGCGAAAAGTCCCGGGTTGCGTGACATAACAAAAATACAATTAATACTGACTCAGTCATAGCTTGACAAAGGGACTCAAATAATCAATTAGTTTAATTTTGGCGATATATTGAAACAGAGACCTAAAGTAAAGGTCCCGTTAATTTAGGTCTCTGATTGAAATTAGCAAATAAACCATCATGATGACCACCACTGCTGCCTCTTTGCCAACGCCAGACCATCCGACATGATTTCTCTAATGGAGGTTAACCACCATCGCAACCATGCGTAGCTTGTTGAGCAGGAACGGTTGTTTCGCTCTTTTTTGGTGTGTTTCAATCTAGTCTGAAAAAACACTTGTGTATGATAGAAGATTAAAGTTGTGAAAGTTAAATGGTGGTCGGGTAGTGCAGTGAAAAGCGCACTTGCCTTTCACCAAGGCCGATTCCCCGATCGGACATAAAAAGGTATGGGGTCACCTGCCCGATCACATGGGTTTCCTCCCACAATAATGCCCCGCGCGCTAACATCCGGGCTAACAAGAGTGATTAATATCAGTTGAAATAACTTGTTCCATAATTGGTGTAAGAGAGTTTATAATATATTTCAATGTGTCAATGTGGGCAAAAATAGACAATTCGCAATATTATAGTGCCCTTTAAACTCGATTCCGCGGGCGTCCAATTTGCGATTCGTTGTTGGGCTGGCGCGCGCATGCGCATAAGTGAGCGAACATTTGTCTATGACCATGATGCTGTTAAAACAAGAGTATCAATTGTTCGGCATTAATTATTAAAAAAAGAGCTCTGATATTAGCTAGATTGCTATGTTGCTGGATTTTCTAAAATGTCCTGATCTTTTAGGCATTAATGAAATTCATGGCCTCGTTTTCTATTTATAGGAATAATCTGTGAAAACCGGAGATGCTGTTTTTATGAAAACGTTAAGTTGACAGCGCTGTCGTTAAATTTGAAAACTATTGAAACAGTGTGGGGCTAAGGGGATTAAATGCTCTATATATAAAGACATTAAGTTGACATTGCTGACATTTGGAGTAGTGCTGACTTTTAACAGAGTGAGAGGTGTTGATAAGAGGACAGTGACCGAACTATGACAACGAGTCTGCAAATTAAAAAAAGAAATGTTACAAATAAATATTTTTATTAATAAGTTGCGCATGCGCAGCGAGCCCCAATTAAACCGCGAATGATTTTACCATAACATTTTAAGAATTCATTTTTGCTTTTAAATTGTATTTATACATGTACATATTTTTTTAACTTAAATGTCTATAAACAGAAGGAAGGTGACACATACAAGGATAACGAGACTGAAAGTACCGGAAAATTTGCTTGAGCAGAGGAGGGGGACATGAACAGGAATAGAATTGAAAAAAAATCACCCCATTGTAGATTGAGGGCAACGACCGACCAACAAAAGAGTGTCCGTAAAAACATACTGCGTCTATTAAAACTTATCAATGTACTTTGTATCTAACAAACAAAGATGCGAGCCCACGTGGCCATCCTTTAGTTAGAGGGCAACAACATAAACCCTCGAGGACGCTTTATATATTTAGCAACATTAAAATACCAATTTATTAACGGTTTTTTCCCCTTTGCCCATTTGTTCCTGTCGATAACATTTTAAGTGCTCACACTGTATCTCAATCAATACAAATGTATGGCAGCTGTACACATTATCGGAGCCACAGAAACAGTAAAATCCTCATCACAAATACAAATATCTTCAACCTTCTCTTTTAAAACGACAGTGCAGGACATCGCTTTGCGAGTCCATATAAAATACAACAGGTGCGGCAGGGGAGATAACTCCATTTACCTTAACATCTAACATGAAGTTAGCACAGTGATAAATAAAATATCCACGTCACCGACATATTTTCCGAAACGTTAATACTGCACTATGCAATATAGGTATGTATTTGTTATTCATACACGAGACTATTACGATACTTTTATATGTCCCTGCTGATATAATGTTACGGATATATTTGACTGAAAGATTGTGAAACGGGACCCATAGTCTTCGACAATGCACTATAAGCATATTTATCAATAACTTTTCTCTCATTGTCAACATCTGTATTAAAAACTTCTTACGAGGCATGCCGACATGTTTTTAATATATCTCGACATCTTAAAAAAATTCCGACATATTCTTCAAATAAGTTTGACAAAACCTTTGGATTATGATTATGTCGACATATAAATGCAGTTTGGGAGATAATCTAGCCGATATATTTTTCTCGTAATTAAGCAACTCGGTTTTATTTATGTCGTTTTATTAAGCAACAGTGATATTAAATTGACACTGATAAATCTAGTTCATACAGCCGATACAAGGAAACCGAAACGAGGCTTATAATGGAGAGAGAGCAGACCTAATGAGAATCGGTTAACTACTGTTGTTCTCTTGTCCCCGAATTTGGTGTATTTGGTGTGTAACGTCCCCGTCATCCCTGATAAGTGGCAAGTCACTGCCATATCGGGACATTAACACGATAACAATTTTACCCCCAAGAACGAGACGTTACAGAGTATAGTCCTTAACTAACAACTTGCTTCGATAAAATCAACCAAAGTAGGTTCCCTGCAGATTCTGTATTTTCCCTTTGCTGTGTGGACATTGAAAAAACGAATATTGATAAATGACTTATATTTACATTTGCATGCCCTATTTGCATGTAAACCTACTGATATATGAGTCAGCACACATAAACATACACAATGCATATGTGCATTTCAGACATTTGTGACGAACCCCTGTGCTCTGTCGCAAGATCACTGACTCGTATCACGCGTCTATCAGCCACGGTTTCCTCAGTTTCTGACGACATGTCAAATAACGAGACTTCTAGAATCTACCGACTGTAGTCAGGTTCCCATACAATCAACAAATAAATTCATGCTTGGATTCTTCACAAATTCGAACTTTCCTCTCTGCTCAACTTCCAAAAAAAACTTCCTTGTTGAGGGCAAGGTTTGATTACTGTGTTTACTGTATTTATCCATGCGCGAAATTTGTTCGGGGGAAAAATCGAAACAATTTAAAATCTAACTTTCAGCTCAGATTTATATTGATAAACCTAAAGCATCCTTTAGACATGTCGAACGCAATTGTATTGATACTGAATTAGTGTGGACTTTCGATAAGGCGGGAATTTTAAATTTCAAATATAAATTGGAAGTTAAAAAGAACTTAAAAGGCAGAGAAAACGTAAATATTAGTATTGAATTGTTTTTGTAGGGTATTTATGATCTATTTGAATGCCACAGCTTTGCAAGCAAACAAATCATAATACGCTAGCGTGCATTATGATGTTTGCTTACAAAGCTATGTCATTCAAATAGATCTTAATTACAATAAAAACAGCTCAATGCTTAAAACGCTGTTGCGAGGACGTTAAAACCCCTAGTAAAGATCAGAAACAAAGTGGTTTCCGGTGATCCGGAATCACAATAACATTACTACTATTCCCATATGGAATATGTTTATTGATCGACATTATTGTATTTACGCTTTCTTTCAGTTTATATAAAATCGATCACTCCGATAATACTTATATTACATATTACCGACGTCAACCCCATTTATTAGAAAAAATCCAATGTTGAAATAGCAAAACCAATAAGACTGTTGAGTATTCGGTTAATTGCTTATGTGTAG